ATGATTTATGCTAGTTGTAAAGAAAGTGTTATTGATAATATTGAAAAAAAATTTGGTATTATTTTCGATAAAAAAGTAAGAATATTTTTTTTTAATTTCAATCTTTTTCATTTAAATTTTTATATTTAGTTGGAAATTTCTGATTCAACTGAGTTTACAATGGAATATCTCATAGAACAACTTCATTCAGAAGCATCAGGAAATACAACAACGTCATTATCATCATCATTTGCTAAACCAAAAGCACCATCATCACATGGCCGACGTCGATTAATTAAAACAAATGATAATTCAGATGAATAAAAACAAAAAAAAAAAACTTTTTTCTTTTTGTTTATTTTTGTAATGATTCCATTATAATTCGATATTTTTTTTTTCAATATAACTAACATAAGTAGTTAATATTTGCAATGATATTAGTGACAGTATGTGTAATATATTCCATTATCAAATATGACGATGTTAGAAAATAATTTAGAATTCAGAATACAAAATTTTTTTCGAGAAAATTTATTCAAGAAAAATAAATCTGATCGGGAAAATAATAAAAATCAAGTTTTCCGAAATTTCCACTTCGAATAAGTTATTCTATATGGATCGTAATTATATTGAATCAATCGGATCATAAAAACGTTCTCAGAGAAGAACTTTATTTTTACATTAATGATAATTCAACAGATTTTCAAAATCTGAATTAATCAAACAACGATAGCGGATTGTTATGTAGATCGTGATGACGATTGAGTCAATCATATTGTACAAAACGCAAGAAGATAAAAGCTAGACTTCAATATTTCGAACTACCGTACTTCAGAATATTGAAGTCTTGCTTTTTTTTCCTTGATAAAACGTCCTAAGCATTTTTTTGAGATTTTTTATGTAGTCCTACATTAATATTTTATGTTTCGAATCACTCTTCTCCTGTAATCTCTTACCTTTTTTTTTATGCATAATGTCCTTACCAGAAGTTATGTATAAGTCGAAGAGAAAAAAATCTTTAACTGTGGATTCACATAGATTCTACAGTAGCAATGATGTTATAAGCATCATTCCTCGTCTTACTAAAGCTACCATATGTTGCCCCGCAATTGTTTGTTGTTCTAAATAAATTTGATTTGATTCATTTGTATACTTATGATTAATAATAATGATCCACATTTTCTTTACACAATGTGAAGTTGGTCTTTTCTTTTTATTATAAAAGCTACACTTCCATCATTTTTTCCGGTCAAATATTTGAATGGTAAGGATGTAGATCTTCTATTCTTCTATACTCACACACTCATCAACACAATCAATTAAAATGAAGAATAATTTCATAATAAAAAGTTGGAAACATTCAAATGCAAATAAATTTCCTTTTGTTTTGTTATGACTTGAGATAAACGAAACATCGATTTTATCTTTTACTCAAAAATCTCTGACTGTTTTTTTTTCTCTCTTTTATTTGTTTATCTATTAACATATGAATTCATTTCGTAATCTCATATATATAGGAGATGCTTCATTAGTTCCGAATCGTGACAAAATTTTCTTATATGCAGACAGGAAATGATCTATAGCTAAATGTATCCATATGAGATTTGAGTATTTGTATCGAAGTTTCAAATAGTAGCCCACAATAGAAGACTCTGGATCTTCTATTGTGTCCCAGTTATTTCTATGAATTTTAATTATAAGGGTTTTTCAGAATATAAAAACAATTTTGAAGATTTGAAGAAATATTTTTAGGACTGTAAAAATTCAGAAATAATGCTGACCTTAGTCTTTTAAGATTTTCAGTTTAAAACTAAGCATATTTTAACGTAAAGATTCAATGTTTTTTTAGAAACTAATCAAATAAAATAACTCTTCTATTATGGAGGATGGGCGTTATAATATATTAATTCTCCACTATGTTTTAACACTTTTCCAAAGCTTTTAGTTCCGACGACAACGATTAAACATTATTCTTTTTTCAATTTAGTTCTTAACAGATTAAACCTCGAAAATTATTTTCTTTGTATTTTTTTGTTTTTTCGTTTAAAAATTTCTTTGAACTTTTCAATTAATCATACATGAGTGACTTTTGTATTCGCCATCTTGAGATAACATTTAGGATCTTACATAATACATCAATAATTCGTAATACAATCTTTGTGTTTTTGTTCTCTATTTATTATTCTATTCATATATTTTAGTTCATGTTAAATCGTTTGTTGATCATATAGTTTGACTTATCATGTAACTAGTGGTTCATGATAGTTCTCAAATAGACAATTACGACAACGATTTTATTATTATTTCTTATTATCTTTTTTTCTTTTCATTTAATGTTAAATATATTTGTCGATTTTTTTTTAATTTTAAATCTCACAATTATGATCAATCATATTCATATGGCTATATGTGTGTCATTCAAAATATAATGCCATTTGAAACAATATAATCACATATCATATAAATAAATTTAGTTTGAGATCATTTTGTCTGTTTGCATCTAAAGAATTTTTGTTATGATTGAAAATTAATAAAAACATTTGGTAATCATGCGTATCAATTTCTTTTTATTTTATTAATGAGAAAAATATTTTTGATGACATAGTATTTTTTTGCACCTGTCGACGCTACAAGAGGTCATAGCAATAATATTACAAGCTATAATTATGATGTTTTCTTTTTCTAAATTGAAATATGTGAATATATTTTATGTATTCAATGAAAGTTAACATGTTTTTTTTATGTGAATGTCTCGTAATAGAATGGCATGTAAAATGGATTCTTTAGAATATTTTATGAAAATATCTATTTAAAAAGAAAATTAGTTGTCTAGAAAAACGAGAGAGAATAATATCAATGGATTGTTTGATTTCTTTATTGAAATGTATTCATTGTATTAAAAAGAATAATTCTACAATTATATATATAAAAGATTGATTGGAATATTAGGCTAATTGCTTGTTCTTTGTTATAAGAAATTCAAAAATACTCAAACTTTAGTGTCTAATCTCTTGAAAATAAATGAATATTATCTTCAATTTTTTTTTGTTTTCTGGTATTTTTAGTTTTGATAATAAGAAAGATAAATACATTAATATCCTAGAGAAGTTTGTTTTTCTGTACTAAAAATAAAAAATGATTATTTTTAGTTATAGGTGGTAAATAGAATGATTCGTTTTAATCACAAATACAATTGTAAACAATATAGTAATTTATGTTTTCATGTCATTGCGATCATTTATTTTTTTCTAATTAAATATTATTATTTAGTTATTCAACATTGTAATCGTGCCAGTTATTAAACATATCGATTCTAAGTACATCTATAAATCGTGTTGTAAACATGATTAGTTCTCTAATAATGTTTTTTCTTGTATTCTAGTGATAGATATTTATTAAATAGGATTAGTAGAACAAAAAATATAAAAGATTAAGGATAATATTTATCTAGTTATATGACATTATGTATCACAAATTGAATGTTTTTTACATTTATACTAAGTAAGAATCAACAATATTTTGTTGAAAAAGTCCAAAACTTTTGAATGAATCATTTAAGTTATTTTTAATCTTCTCAAATATTTGAAATGAATTGTTTATTTCTTGAATAATGAGAATAAAGAATTTGTTTTTTTCAAATTAATTTTCAATATAATGTGATATACGATGATAAAGAGAAAAGTTGTTAGACCAATTTCTACAAGATTAAAATATGAAATACGATTGATCTGTATATATTGTAAATCAAAGGATTCCGAAACATACGCTTCAATTTAGGGCTTCTAACGTATTTAATCTATCCATGATGAAAGATATTATTCATGATATGTTACAGTGAGTTTTGAAAGGGAAGTCAATGACAAGTATCTTAAATTCAATTTTCTTTCGTTATAATCATACAGAAGACATTAGTTCCGTGACTAAGTATGTCATGTCTATAGGGAGTCCAAGTTTCCACTCCTTATGCTTCAATATTCCTTTTCAGATTACATTTCACAAAACAAACGTTAATCTAAATTAAATGTCAGTGATAACAAAAAAAAAAACAAAAATGAAAACATTATAAAAGTCAGAGATTTATAAAGTAATAATTAAGATAAACTAAAAAATTTTGTATTCATAAGGACATACTTTGAAATTACCATGACATAAAAGAAATAATTACTTTTATTGATATATTTATTTATTTATTTGCAAATAAAAAATAAAAAAATGAATAGTAATAAAAGATTGATTTGACAAAAGATTTAAATCATAAATCAAAATCCTAGTTATATGATTATACTTCTTGATATTAAAAAGAAGTAATCCTTATATCGATGTATATTTTTTTTCGTTTGACTGTCATAAGGGGAGGAGTAATGTATATATGTTCAATCATAAAAATATTCAGTTACGACACATATGATGATATACGATTGCTCTCAATATAGATGAGGTTTATTTATCATAAATAGAAACCTATGATAGCGATACAAGCCATGCATATAGAGATAGGATTACACTTTCTTTTTGTTTTTTTTTTTCCTCTTTTTTTTTTTTTTGTCTCTACTCTCGTTTGTGTTATATACATAAAAAAGCGTTTATTACATGATAATATGAGTTACAAACAAACGGATTCATTGTTTACATATATATTGTTAACAGTACTGCAGCGTTTTATCCTTCTCTTTGTTTTTCTTTGTTTGTATTGTTTGATAATAAAGGATATCGATTTTTTTTTGCTTGGTACATTCGTTTGACTTTGATCAGTAGGGTTTTTTTTGACCAATTTGTGAATATAGAAATTACTTTTTTTTTTCTTTTTTTTTTTTTCCTTCTGTCTGTATAGCTACGATTAGACGGAAGAGAAATGTGCGCATTTTGCGAGAAAGAGAAGAAGGCTGGCAAAAGAGAGAAAAATTGTGTTCGAAAGAGAAGAAAGTTCACCAAACCACTAGTGCTTGATCATTTCTTCTTGTTCTTATTCTTATTCTAGCCGCAGCTAGAACGCATACGAAGACATTACACACTAATGAACAATGCTGTTTCCATCAACACAACCGTCACATATACCATCGTCTACTGTTGATTCACAATACGATACAACAACAACAACAACAGGTTATTCATCATCGTTTTATACACGATGGCCACGATCACTTGGTAAAACTTATAATACTGCTAGGAATAGTAATTCTACATCACGTCGACATCATCATTATCAAAATAAACCATGTTCAGATATATTACATTATCAATATGGACGACAACAACAACCAATCTATTCAACACTCAGTCCACAACGATCATCAATAAATAATATTTTGCCGTAAGTAAACATTTCATTGATGTTTCTTAAACGAACAAATCAATATCGAAATACAATATTTATGGATACATCAAATGTTTCTATTTTGTTTTGTCATAATTCTCTAATACGTAACACCCCAGCTGTGCATAATCGGAAGAGAAAAAAAAACTGTCTCATCTTGCGTAAACCGAGATCAATATCTATAAAAGAAAGTCATTAACGCCTTATATCAAAACAACTGAATAATAGAATAAAAAAAAAACATATTCATTTAAAAAAAATTCTTCATAAATGATAATATAAAATATTATATCAATTCTTGTTTAATTAAGATAAGATTTATTAAAGAATGGTGTTCCTGTTTGTTGTTCTCTTGGTGTTATTCTTTTTATTATTTTTTTTTCTACGATTAATCTCCGTTGTACCATCTTTTTTTTTCTCCCGCGTTCTTTTTTTTTTGCACCAGCTTTTCTTTCTCTTCTGTTTATCTCTTGTCTCTTGCCGTAATATTGATAAGGTCATCACTAGAAGCAAACTAAATACAACACATCAGTCTTATAGTATTCGAATACAACAATCAATTGTTTTTCTTCATTTTTAACGACAAATTTTATATATAAAATCAATAGAGTATGATTTAATATCCAATCGAACAAATATATTCGAGGTAATAATTTCAGAGACATTTGTTATTTCATGTTGCGATTATCAATCTACTTGTTCACTTTTATAGCTCCTTTTTTTTTTCATCGTACATTTTTCTTTTCTTTTTCTTTTTATAGTCAATCATGAAAGTATTTCTATGTACATCAAGGTATCTTGTCAGGAGTCTTGTCTCATTTTTCCTCATATACTCCTACGTCTTCTTTTTTTTTTTTATCAAAACGTATGATATAATTAAAAAAAAAACATATATCACGTCAAGTTTGTTCGTTTGTTCGCACATCATTCTATCACCTGCTGGTTCTCTCAACTAGTAACATTTTTTCGTTGGCATAATAAAACTTTGAAGGCTATTTTTTTTCTTTTCATTTACATATATATATTCATATATATTAAAAAATAGGTGACAAGACAGTTATTTGTCATTGATTTTCATTTATGTATTCGTTCACATTATTCAATGTACAGAATTTTTGAAAAATATTAATATATTTATATATATATATATTTTATTTGTACTCGTCAAATATATATATTTATGATATCTAAACTAATTTCATATCGAGCAGAATTAAAACGTAATAAACAACGTTCATATTCGAATGATGATTTATTAGTCGAGTAAGACATTATATTTTATGTTCAATATACGTAGTCTTCTTTTTTGTTGTTATCTGTTTATTGTTAAGTTCTCTTTCGTTTTTGCTATTCTTTATTAGTATGAAATATGATGCGTAATTAAAATTGAACATGATGTTAGTCAAGTATAGTCTATTTTTTTGTTCGTTTTCTTTTAAATATATATATATATCTATACATTAATATATTATTGAGATTTAGAAACTAAATTCATCCATTTATTTGATGGATTAGTATAGATAAAAAGAAATAATTAAAGTTTATGATAAAAAGAACAACGATGACATGCACATTGGTTACACTTGAGAGGTCATTGTATGTATGTATGTATATATTAAGAGGAGAAATTCTCTTCAATTTGATTTTCTTTCTCCTTCACATATTCACTTGTGGCTTCATTTTGAAGCGAGAAGAAAGAAAAAGAAAAGACATTGTCCTCACCTTGCTGCCTCGTCAAGTATCAGTTCATATGTTCGTTCGCTCTAATATTTGCTAAGGCAAGCACATATATGAGAAAAGAAGTTTGAAAAAGAGAAATACAGAAAGAAAGAAAGAAAGAACGAAAATGGCAAATGAAACGCGATTTTCTGTTGTTGAAATATAAAATCATCATCTGGCCAGTTCATTTCTTCTTCTTCTTCTTCTTATACGTTTTTTTCTTTTTCATCGTTATTCTTTCGCATACTCGCGTGCATACCATCGTTTCAAAGATACTTCGCACCGATTACATGGACAACGACGATGACGACAGAAGCAAAAATTGTGCAGGCACACGTTCATATTAAATAACTCTCCCATCTCTTCAATCTGACTATCTTCATTTTCCTTTTCTCTTTTCATACAAAAGAACATATACATAATAATACATCACTATAGTTCATTTTTTACATTTTCGAGTGTACCCAAGTTATTATATAAGAAAAGAAACACAAATAATGATTGCCATACAAAGTTCTGATATTGATTCAATTGGTTTCTCAGATTATTATTCGCAAACATTAACTGGCAGCAGGTAAAAATAAATACACCCAAAAGCGAAGAAAAAGAAAGAACTTGATATTGTTCAATGATTTGCTTCAAGAAAATGAAATTATTATTTTTTTCATAGTATGCAAAATATGTATATATACGTATATATATATGTATATATTTAAAAACTGCTTTTCATCATATGCTCAATTTGAAATAGGTTTGTCATTTGCCTGTGTAATTGAAGGTTTCATTAACCATAGGGAAAAAGAGAGAGAGAAAGGAAGACATTTCAACATTCATATTCTTTTTTTTTCTTCATGTTCATTTTTGTTCAAAGGATGTCAAATGATGGTCCTGGTGGAAGTGGACGTCAACGTAATCGTCATTCAAATTGGTCTAGTTTAGGTAGTCTGAATAGTTTTGGTGAATCGACAACAACACCACCATCATCACAAGAACATACGGGTAGTAGTGGAAGTAATACAAATGGTAGTGGACAACAACGTGAAACATTACATAGTCGATTTGATTTTAAACAAACATTAGGTAAAGGTACATATGGAAAAGTAAAATTAGCATTAGATAAACGTAAGAATGAACAAGTTGCAATAAAAACAATAAAAAAATCACGTATTGAAAATCCACATGATTTGGCAAGAATTCGACGTGAAATTGATTTTATGACAAGTCTTAATCATCCATATATCATTAAAGTAAAAGAAGGTAAAAACAAAAGAATAAAAATTTTTTTTTCTCTATTATTTTATTTAATTATTTCTACATAAAAAAAAGTTTATGAAAGTCGTGAAAAAATTATTCTTGTCATGGAATATGCAAGTGGTGGAGAATTATATGATTATCTTAATCGTATGAAACGTATACCAGAATCTCAAGCACGAGCTATTTTTCGACAAATAGTTTCAGCTGTTCATTTTCTTCATAAAGTATAGAATAAAAAAAAGAGTCTTTGATTACAAATAATTTTTTGTCTTTAATAATTATAGAATCAAATTGTTCATAGAGATCTTAAATTAGAAAATATTTTAATTGATCATAATGGTGATATCAAAGTAAATATTAATTATTATATGAAAAAAACAATATACATAAAATAAAATTGTTTTTTTATTTAATTAGTTGGCTGATTTTGGTTTAAGTAATAGTTGGTCGCCTCGTCGACTATTGTATGTTGTCGTTTATTGATTTTTATCAATGTATATGACCTTTTAGTTTTAATCAGACATACCTTCTGTGGATCGCCATTATACGCATCACCAGAAATCGTTTCCGGTATTCCATATTACGGTCCTGAAGTATGGGTTTTTGTTCTTTTTTGTTCTCTTTAAAATAAAGAAAAATTACATGTATGTACAGGTTGATTGTTGGTCATTGGGTGTTTTACTTTATACACTTGTTTTTGGCTCAATGCCCTTTCAAGGTGGTGATTATAATCGACTCGTACGAAATATAACTTCAGGCGATTTTATACAACCTCGTGAACAATCAGGTAATTAGAATTATCCTAAAATTTAAGATATATAAAGTGATAATCTCAGAAAACTTAGAAGATCATTATGTCCACTATAGAAATTTTTCTATTAAAAAAAAAAAAAATTTTTTTTTAAATCGACAAAAACAAATCTATAGGCTCACTCGGTCTTATACGTAAATGTTTAACGGTATTACCATCAAAACGTTTTACTATTGATGATGTTGCAACACATTGGTGGGTTAATCTTGGCTATAAATATCCACCTGTTCATTATTATCTTACACCGGCAATGAAACAAAATGGGATGTCTCTATCATCAGATAAACCAGCAATATCATACGATATATCATCAGTAAAAACTACTAAATCTAGTTCAAAAACTGTTAAACCATCTGCACCTGTTTATTTTCAATCGTTACCAGTACAAAATGGTCATAAAACAGATACTCAAATGAAATCTAAACCAATAAGAAATGGATATAATTCAATACCACGAACAAATCGATTGATTACAAAAACTGATCAAATATCAAAAACAAGCCGACGGACATCTAAAGAACGATATCATGGTGGTATGTCATCTAAACATCCTCCACGTACACATTAATCAAATAGAAATAAATTCGCATAAGAATATCAAATATTTTTGTTTTTGTTTTCGTTTTTTTTTTTTGTGTCTTTTTTTTTCTGTCTCTTCTTCCATTCATCTATTTCTTTTACCAAATCTGAGACTAATCAAATCCTATGCTTGAGCATGTACGAAAAAAAACCTTTATTTGGTGATGGATTGCTTATTTTTAACTTATTTCTTTTTTTTTATTTTATTTCATTAATATCATAGGTGCACTTACACTTATACAACATTGCTTGAAATCCGATGCTAATAATCGTGCTACAACAAAAGATATTCTTCATCATAAATGGTTAACACATGGACCTGTTCTTTCTGTACAATTAACTTCAACAACAACAGCATCATCTATTTCATTTAATAATCAACAAACATCAATTAATTATGATACAAATCATTTACGATCATTACCAACAACAACAACAAGAACAACAATTGAAAGTTCTCTATCACCAACAAATTCACTTGTTGAACTTGAACTTCATACAAGTTCATTTTTTGATACAGCTCGATTACGTGATAATTCATCAGTAAATAAAGATCAACAACGACGTAATCGAGTATCGGCTATACCAATATCTACACGTTATCTATCATCAAATAATACTAAAATAGATCCATCTTTATTATCTCGTCCAACATATCGACGACCAGTAAGTTTATCTATTGATGATCAATATTCAACAAATGAAAAATTGCAAAAACAATCTGTTAATAATCGAAATTCTCAACAAACACTTTCATTACCACCACCACCACCAACACCAACAACATATGATAATAATAATCGATACCATTCATTACAAATAGCACAACCATTAACATTACCTTTATCATCTGAATCAACAACTATAATACCATCAACATTTCTTATTTCAAATGATTTTGATTTAACATTAAATGATCTTAAATCTTCAAAAATTTATAAATATATAACACCACCAAAAACTGAATTTAATATTACACCATATTTTCCAAATTCAACAACAACAATAACAACAACTGTTGCACCATCCGTTTTTACAACATCAGCTATTAAATTTGTTCCGGTACCTACTCGACGTATGAGTCCATTAAAAGATCAAGAAAATAATTCATCAACAACTCCAGCACGACTATTTAATAATACTATTTCTAATCCGTCTTATAATAATGATAATAGTATTAATATTGCTCCTATTACTAATACTACTACTACTAATAATAATAATAATAATAATAGTGAACAACTATTAACTACACTTGCATTACCAACATCATATAACACACATAAAAATCGTCTACTAGATGATAATAATAATTTAGTTTCATTAAAAGTATATGAGTAGTAAATAATCTTTCTTTTTTTTTTGTGTTCATTTATCCTTGCAGTTTTTCTGTGATAAAGTGTGACTTCTTTTTTTTTTTTTATTTATTTACAAAAGACAACAACAGTAGTAGACGTTTGTAGAGGTTTTTTTTGTGTACATCTATTTATTACTGTGCTTCTTATAATTGATTTCTTCCTATTCCTGTTTATTTCAATAACAGTTGTGTGTGTGCTCATTTTCTTTTTCTTCAGGTTGTACAAAAAACAAATACTGCTGCTATGAAAATATTTATTTGTGTGTGTGTGTGTGTGTGTGTGTGTATGTTCACAATTCGAGTCTCACTTTTTTTTGTATAATGAGAGAGTGAGAGTGAAGGCGTAAACCTTGAAGTAAACATAATAGAACAATTGTCTAACGTTGTCTGTTCTCCTTTCACATGAATAGTTTGAGATTTGACATTGATAGCAAGGTCAAGTTTGTTATTGTAAAAAGAGAAAAAATTTCAAGGTAATTTACTTTTTTTATCAGTTTGCAAAATAAGATAGAAAAGATCGACGTTGATAATGGATTAAGTTAATTAAATATGTACTGATTGACACTGTTATATGATGATTTAGATTATTATAAAAACATTATATTAATATGTGATGATGAATGATGAGAAATATGTTCTTTTTTTTCTTTTATTTGATTTATTTAATATGTCATCAAAATCCTATTGCTAAAATATTTATAGAATATATGTGGTTTGATTAATATGAGCATAATAATTAAAGTTCATTCTTGTGTCAGAAACCTGTTTTCTTTATTGTAGAATGGCTGATTCTGTTAATTTATAACACGTTACTATCATTATTTTTGTGCTTGTTTAGTATTTAAAACGACCCAAAAAATTGTTGAAGAACAAAAAAGTTAAAAATAGAAAAAAAAAATTCATGTGGAGAAAAATATGATGCTAATTTTCATCGTTTCGGAAATAAAATAATTTTTCTTTTTTTTTATTAAATTATTTAGAAAAGATAAAATTCATTTATTCCGAGCCGTCGATTCCATTTTGTTAGATGCATGATAACTAGATTTTTCTATTATTGAAAACATGTAGAAAATTTCTAAATTCATTAATAATTGAAGTATTCAAATAATTAGTTATTTTTTACATTCATAACTTCTTAATTATCAATTTGTGTTTTGATTACAAACTTAGCAAACAGTTTCTCATAGATTTGAATTAATGAAGAACATAGAAAAATTTTATGATTTGTATAAAAAAAAAAAGAAAAAGAGAATTACTTTATTTTGATAATAAAAGCTTGTGAAAGATTATATTATCAACAGATTTTTGTTAAAAGTAAAAAGTAACAAACAAATTGTTAATATCAACTAAAAATATTGCTGATCAGCTTACATCTTAGTTTTGAATATTCAGAAAGAAAATCGATATGTGATAAAGAAAAATAATCATTTTCAATTATGTGTAGTACAATAGTATTTATTCTCTCTGATTGAAAAAAATCAAGGTTTTAGTGCGATATTTCTTGAATGAATGACATCATCGGAACTATAATAACTATTCGTGACAAAATCTTTATCACAACAAAATTGCAAATGGATAGATGTCGAATATCATCAGATAGTAAATATATTCTCTTTTTGACTTCTAGGTTATATAAGTTATTGAATTTAGGAAGATTATATATTTATCATACATTTATATGAACCGGTTAGGCATATTAATAAATGAATATGATGAAGGAGAATAGGGAGCTGCGGATTCACGAAAATTTGGACCCATGCTCGACCGGATCCGAAGCCGAGAATTTTTTCTATCAATATTTGGTACCCTTCGCGTACATGAATAAGTAAAGGATAAAGGTTTTAACTGTTTATTCGCTACTCTCAGAAAAAAATTCAACGTACAACTATATCTTGTTGCTGTAGTTCTCATCCGGAGAGCCGTGAATTCACAAAAACGTATAATCGGGTCCGACAAAAAATAAAATTATGGATCTGGACCCGAATCCGCAGTTCTCTAAAGGAGAAAAGAAAGTACGTTCTTTTTCATCTAATTTAACTGTACAATATCCAAAACTGCTAGTCAACAAAAGAACAATTATTAGAACACAAAAAGAAAGAATCTATGTATAAGAATTCAGAAATCATCATTCTCTCTCTTGTTTACTATGTCATAATAATGAATTTGCTATTGATTTATTTGCTACTTGTTATTGTTGGCAGTGTTTGATGGAGATTTTCTCTTCTGTAGAAGTGATTTTAAACTCCGGAAGGACAAACACGATCTTCGAAGAGATGTCGACCTATCGATTCTCACACTGAATGCTCTTATCACTTCTAGTGATGAAAACTAACGTCATGTCATTACTCAATCTCTCAGACGAGAATTATCATTTGAGTTGTCTACACATTGATCAAAGTGCTGATTCGATCATACTCTTGAATGCCAAGGTTATTAAATAAATGTTATCCGAAAAGAAGAAATCTTTTGTAAATGCTCAAATTTATGAGTATTGCTTATCATCCTGTAGTGAACAATTCAATCAATCATAATTAATTTTTTTGTACAGACTAATATATGATGATAAAATGATCTATAAAAATGAAAACTCATCTGAATCAAAATTCTTTGTCAACTTTACCTACGAAAAAAACAAACTAACATCGAATCGATTAGAGCATGCGAGTTATTTATGTCCATACTTTCTTTTGCTTTACGTACTATCACTTGATAATCGATAATGATACTAATGAAACTCTTTGATCATTCTTAGTTAAAGCTGATAATCGAGCTGATGATAAATGGATGATATATTATTTAACAAACTGAACATATTCTTGATAGTGGATGACTTTGCAAATGTCATGCCCTAATTATTACAGTGTCAGGGTCAAGTATTAAACCAGAGAAAAACTGATATTGATAGTGTTTATTTGATTAATCCTTCTATTGTAGCATCATCATCTTTGAAAGTGATGATTATTGAACAGAAGAAGCTCGTTAGTATCTATTATATTTACAGGAATATCATTCTTCGACGAAATCTTTGTGAAAAAGTACTAATGTTCTAAAACGTTTTACTTTACTAGGAGAGTGAAAAAATCAGAAAATGCATTTTAGGATTTAGAGTGAAGTTCTTAATATTTGGATTTGGTCTTAAATTCTAAAATTCTTTTCTGGCTTCATCACATTCCTGATTAAGTTCTTTCTAACACTTTATCTTATGAAAGCTATAGAACTTGGGTCATTGGAAAATAAAGACAACCCTAAGCCGGCAAATCAAATCTTAAGGCTTTGGATGTATTGTACTCCTACTCAATAAGATTAACTAGTCAAACAATAAGATTGTATGGATACTATTTTATTGTCAAAATATGGAAATTTATAATGCAGATGAAAAATACATCGTTAATATTAAAAAAAAACTGTCGACAAAAAGACGTTGACAAATGATATGCAATTCATTATGCTTACAATCGATAGATTTTTTCTTATCGATGATTAAATCAATTATCACCTCTCTAAATCACTTATTTGAATTAACATTAAAGAGTATATTGAAGTTTTGAAATCACTCTATCGATTTAAGACCTTTTCTTTTACACATAGACTTAAGAGGGCAGATCTCTCAACTGATTGATCGTACTTTAGCTGAGGCTATGTATATCATGTGGATCGTAATGAAAAGAGTTCGAGCGCGTAGGTTATTGCGGCGAAGATGCTACAGTTCTACGGTATTCTTTGACGGAATCGCATGACTTCTCTTAGAAACAGTAGGAAAACTCATTTTAAAATTTTAACTTGAAAGTTTTATTTAACGAGAATAGTTTATTGTGAAAACTCCAGGTCTTATTGGTTTGACTCAATTCTAGAATAAGTACATCGAATCAGTCGATATATATATATGAACGATGTAAACAACACGCTTGTCCCATAGTCGTATCTTAGGATAGAAACAACGAAAAGATCTGAAATTATTCTTAGTAATTCAAATCGAAATTCGAAAATAAGATTTCCATGTATTCTTAAAAGAGACCACGCATTGTGAAAATGTAGTATCGCCGCAGCAAGAAGCTAAAGATCTACATGATACACATAATCTCGACTAAAAAATAATTAACCATTTGAGAAAAGCTTCCATCAATTTCATTACTCATATCGTCTACACTGAACAAAAAGCAAGTTGATGCTTTTGTTCATACAAGAAGACTTTCATATCAAAATTAAATATAGTTTCGACTTTGTTTAAAGGTTTAACTACTCTATAAAATAGAACATCTATGATCTATAGTACCAGTCAAAAATATAAGACCAAAATATTTTTGATTCTATTCAATGATATCAAGTATTTAACTTAAATTCAAATAGTGCTTTGAATAGTCGATGAAGTTCTTTACCTAATACATTCCATAACTAAATTTTCATAAATGGGCTATGCAAAGAAGATTTCTAAAAAACCGTACACGGTAGTGTTCAGACCACAGAAGGTTACCTAGAAATTATTTTTTAGAGAATACTATCTTAAAAAGCATAAAATTCTGAGAGATTGCTACATTTTTTACGATCTTTCATTAAAAATTTATAAACATCACAAAGCGGAATTTATCATACTATGGCCAAACAAACGCATTTCTTCGTTTTTGTATTAATTATAGCTTTTTAAGAGGACACCATAGAAAATACGGCAAAGTCTAATTTTATTCAGAATTTTATGCTCTTTAAAAGCACTCCTTTTCTCAGATTTCTCAAGAATGGCTGGACCGAAAATGATGAAATTTTTAAGGTAAATAGATCTCGACTAGTAGAGTAAAAGTTTTCATAGACTGAGAATTTTCAGATACTTCTTTCTATGAGATATAGGAGGCGCAGTGATCAAAAATGACTTAAAGTTTCTCCTGCAAACAGTCAAAATTCATGTTTTATGGCTGAGTTCTTTTTTTGTAGCAACTTGAGCCAAATTGGGACATAAATATTTTTTCCTTTAAAAAATATCGAATCCTTTGCT